AGTAGTAGTAGTAGTAGTAGTAGCAGTAGTAGCAGTAGTAGCAGAGTAGCAGTAGTAGTAGTAGTAGTAGTAGTAGTAGTAGTAGTAGTAGTAGTAGTAGTAGTAGCAGCAGTAGTAGTAGTAGTAGTAGGAGCAGCAGTAGTAGTAGTAGCAGCAGTAGTAGTAGTAGTAGTAGCAGCAGCAGCAGTAGTAGTAGTAGTAGTAGTCGTAGCAGTAACAGTATGCAGGCTAGTTTCCGTGGTCAACCTACATTGTCCAAACAGGTGGCATGCAGCAGCAGCTGCGGCCGCCGCACGAATTGGCGGAAGCTTCTGATCGACCAGGGTTTAGTGGTCCGGAAACCAGCAAAAGTTGGAACCCTGTACAACTCTTGAGTCGGCGAGGCCTGGTCCAAGCCGCCTCGGCTTCCTGGTGTAAGAGGAGGAATGTTTCGGTTCAAGGTCGGCGAGAAACTCGTGTTGCCCTGCAAAAACCTCGGAGACTCGGGCAAGACATGACCTCGAAAAAGGGAGAGGCCACATGCGCTGCACAAGCCAACAAGCTTAGCTGAATTTCCTTGCTGGGCTTGCTGGTATCCAGAAATCGTTGCTTCATTCTCGGCAAGGTACATAGCCATACATGCCAACCAAAGCAAGTCTTAGCACGGTTTGCCAAACAAAAGCCGACCCAGGCCTTGGGTGCTCGGGACAGCGAGCTACTTCTGACATACCTCACAGCGTCGCTCGGACTTGCAAGCTGCCCGGGATGTGCTTGGGTTTACTTGGGACCGGCTTTGTGCCTCTGCTGTACCGAGGTTGCTCGAAGTGTGATGCAGGGCTGGTTCGCAGTAACCGTAAATCGGCAGAGAGATTCCTGAAACGAGATCACATCCTGCCCTCGAACGCAGCTGGAACATTGCGTTTCGAGTCAGGCCATACCTGAGAATACCTTTGCTCCTCACCTTCTTCACGGACCGTGCAGCACCCAGGGCTTCATGTGCGAGACTCTGTCAGTTGCTGTCAGTAGAAAGTATGTCAACGTCAGATGATTAATTGAGGGACGTGGAGAATGCCGAATCCAACCGATTTCAACGGCGGAGATGCTCTGTACCATCGTGAACTCATGATCGCTTGCTTTTGCCAGTGCCATTGCTCGGAGTCGGAGCAGTGTGCCAACCCAGGGCATCGAGTGTCCGCTCTCCGCGAACCGCAGCTTCAGGTGGCGTAGCAGCTAGGGCAGACTAACTTAAATCGCCAGCATGGGTGACATCCACCCATGTGCTCGTAGCACCATGCCTTGTTGTCGCAGCAGGAGGAATAGACTTAGGCCCAGTGTCAGAAGCATTCCGAAACCTCCAGTTCCTACCAGACACCGACTGCACACAGGTAGTCCTTGATGCAGCTCTCTTTGAGTGCGGGCCTCGCCAGGCGCATGCAACCTCCTGTTAGCTGGGTCTTTGGGTCCTTGCCTATCGCCTATTTGGGTTTATACAACCCAGTAAGGTTCACGTGCATTGAACTATGAACGCATTTTTTGTCTGGCAACCCGTACCCAATCGACGGCATGCGTACGTTTGAATTTTGCCAACAGCAGGTCACACAGTCCTGCAGCATGTCTTTTCCGCGTAGATGCAATCATGGCGTGGCTTTGCACTGCCGGTCTACAGGCAGTCAGACAGGTCTTCAGACTAAAGTGGCCTTTATCGCACCGGGCAGAATTGTGATGACCTGTGATGAATAAAGGTTAGATACGGTTAGATAGCCCTTCACGTCAGAGCAGCTGGCAGAAGTCCCGAGGCACACTTGTTTGAAGTCCATCTCAAACTCTCGAAACAAGGTCGGCAGCCACCACTGCGCAATTTCCTGAATTCCCAGCCTCCCTTCAAACCCATCGTGCGAGAGGGAAAGAACCCATCTGAGGCCAGGGCCCTGGCTCTGCGGCGTGGCGGAGATTCCAGAAAAGGCCCCCGAAGATTCTCTTGGGAACTGAGCGGAGTTGAAGTAGTTGCAGATGTTTCTGGTGTGAGTATGATTGCTTTTCTAAGCAGCTAGAATGATCAAGTTCATCGCTTTTTGCGGCTTCATGTGCGATGCTTCGGGAAGGAGACAGCGGGGAAGCCTTTCTAGCGTTCTTGACAACAGCCGCGCGAGACATCGTTCGGAGAAAGCAGGGTGACAGTGCAGAAGACTGGCGAGCTCTCGACTTGAAGCCCTTCGAAGCTCTCGTGCTCCTGTATGAAACAATTGAAACACGCAGGGCATCTATTCGGATCTATAGAATATCGAATCGATGAACAATCCTGAGCCCATCTGAGCCCCGTAGAGTGTAGAGTCGACCAGGAACGCTGAGGCAGCGTCAGTACTTTGGCAAACGGCCAGGTTTAGAATCGATTCCCAAAAACCTTGCCTGGCCATGCCTCTTCTCACAGAGCGGCGCCCCTCAACGCCTATGCACATATGAGGGATGACAGTCGAACAGGTGCCTGCTAGCGATCGCCGGCCTGCGACTTGAGGGAGTGCAGAGTGTCGATGCGTTAGATCTCTTGGGCTATGTGGCGGAGCAGCAGCTTACATGACAATCCCAGGCACTTGGCGACACCGACCGGTCTTTTCTTCAACGAGCTCATGAGGCCCGCGCGCCAGACCCTACATGTGGCACCACGCTGCCGAGCCCATTGGGCAGACTAGGTTTTCATAGGCTACATCGCTTGGGTGATCATGGCGGTCAAAGACTGCGAGCCTGCGACTCTTCAACTTGAGGTCTCCGAAGCCACTGCTGGAGGCAGTGCTGTGCTTGACCTGGCCTCAGTCGCTGTTTCAGTTGTGGGCAGGGATAGTGAATCTGACGTTCCATTACCCATCTATGCGTATGGGAAGGCAAACCAAGAATAAATACGCCCAAGCAGTCTTCGCAGCGAACAGCCGATTAAGGAGGGTTAGTGAAAATGGCAGCAGAACCTCCAAAGCTACTCTGATTAAGCCTGCTCCATGTCTAATTTGACAGGCTCCAAAGACATCTTATCAAAGCTATCGTGAGTATTAAGGCTCCGGGTGGCAGTGGAGAAGGACGTGGGCCGTCCTGACTCTGCGAACGAAGGCCCACGATGCTCTGTCCAGAAGTGCTGCGGCAGAGGATGCAGGATGCAGTCAGAGGCTTTTGCAGGCTGGAAGCAACAGTCCAAGAAGAGTTTGAATCCGTGATCCCTCTTCGAGATGCGGTCCTGGCACGCCAATGTATGTTGCCTGCCCACCCCTGCGCAACATTGCGTTCCTAATTCGCCCTACAAACACTGGGTCCCAGAGTTTCCTTATCTGATGAAGGAGTGGAAGCCATCGCAAACGTGAGACACAAGCCCAACTGCCGAAGGAAATCGTTGCAACCCCCCCGAAGAGTGCTGAGAATTATCTTATTGTAACGTTGATGTCCAGGAGGGTTCCCATCAGGAGTCAAGCGTTCGAGCTACTTCGTTACACTTCGGAATAACAAGCCCCCTCAGACGAAGCCATCTGTCCGGAACCCGTGCACTGCGAGAGACTGCGAGAGAGGCCTGATCCTTTATATCGTGCGGCTGGCCGTCCGCGTCGAGTCGTACCTCGCGTTCGTGATTATGCACGGCCACCGCCTCGTCTTGTGGGCAGGGATGTGTCGCAGGCTCCAACCGTCATTTGTATGCCGACAGAGCATGGGGATCTTGGTGGAAGTCTTCACTCTGCACGACAACGCATGGGTCAACTTGAGGCCGACGAGGTGCATATCTCGAGCGCTCCGGTGCAAGCTACGAGGCTTCCGTGCCAGGACCCCGGCGGTTCAAGTGCAAGCACGTCAACAGAGTCAGGGTGTCGCAACGACTGATTAAGCCGTTCGGACGTCTGTCTCGAAAGTATGTCCGCGGGGAGGCTGAGCAAATTCAGAGGGCGCTGACTCTGCAATCGGGTACAGCACGCTCAAGAAGTCAAGCAAGCCCACATCTGACGCCATCTCTGCAGCGCCTCCCAGGCGAAGCCTGGCAGGGCCCAAGGACTTCGTGTTTTTTCCGGGTCCAACTCCCGTATTTTCCAGGAAAGTCCTGAAGGTGGGGTTCAGGACTCTTTCCCGGAGGCTTCGTGCATAGTCCCGAAGGTATGGTTAGGTCTTCCCTGCAGACCTGTTAGACGAGGATCCGCGGCGTAGCACGGACGGCCCGGACCAAAACAGCCCCTCTGTCAAAACGCTCGATAAACAGTTTCGGAAGCAAAGCGCAAGGACTCGGAGCTGCTCAACGAGCTCGAGGTTGGGGCAGAAGGGCTTAGTTCAGGGAAATTTTCTGCCAACAGCTCAAATCCTGCTTGTGCTGCTGACTGCACTTTGGCAAACAATGGCATTCCGGTGACAACCAGCAGCAGGCTGCACACGTGCAGCTGCGGCACGAACTGCAGGGGGATGCCGGCCGCACAGAGACATGAAGACGGGTCAGGAGTCATCAAGTGCTGGAGCATGTCGAGTGAATGTCGAGTCCCTGCCATCCCGCGAGCCCGAAGCCTGTCAGAAGCAGTTGTCTAGCACAGCAGGTACGACTTTGGCATGTCATGTCATGTCCGACT